GATGGAGGAGAGACCTTGGCAATTTGGCCGAGAGCGAGGAACGCTTCCGGTTTGCTGATGTCGCCTTTCTTTTCGAGAATGGTGAGGAGCCACGCGACCGCGTCCTTGAGAAGGAGTTCGTTGAACTGCTGCGGCGAGAAGTTGGCCAGAATCGGCAGGAGCGTAATCACGGTGTTGACCACCATCTTGTCCTTGTTATCCTGCGGGTTGTAAATGATGTTCACACCGCTCATATGTGTTAGTTGGTTCGGCATTACCACTACAATCCTGGCTCGATGAATGTACCTTGAATTGCAGCACTTTCTCGCAGAGCACTCGATATCGCGGTTCCATCCAGTCCGTTGCCACCAGAAGCTCAGCTAACAAAACCCAGAAACAATCAAGTCAGCAACCACCACGCACGCCTTACACGGAACAGGAACCTAGAATCGCGCCTGTACCCATTGTAAGCAGGGAGCCGTGGACGACAGCTGGCGTGACCGACTTGGCCTAGAATGGGGCCACGCCCAAGAGATGGGTGTGAGTGGACTCGCAGGAATGTGAGAAAATTTGTAGGAAAAGAGAGAGAGAGAGAGAGAAACATACCATGAGACCCTCGAAGGCGTCCTGGTAGATAGCGTGGTACCACTGATGGCGGTGGTTGTGTTCCCGGTGGGAGACGAGGGATAGAGCGCAGCGCAGGGCCTCCAGCGTGCACTCCCGGACCGCGATGTTCGGGTCCTTGAGTCCCTCCCCCACGCAGTCGAAGAATTCGGACACATGCAGGTAGAACAGCGTCGGCGCGTTACGGGCGAGCTCCTTCAGCACCAGCGCCCCGCCGTATCTGAATCGAGTCAACATCAGACACAAAATTGGATGTTCGTGGGCTACCGCGGTTGTTGGTCTTGATCACTGGTGAGGGACTTGGTTGTTACCTGTGCGAATCCTTCTTCATGTTGCGGAGGGCCACCTCCAACTCCTTTTCAATGGGTCCCTCGGTGGGATTAGCTTGCGCCATTCGGCCTGCGCGACGACCCAGGTGTTGTTTCTTCGCGTTAGCGTTGAGATTCCGCGATTGGTACAGAGTAGAGGTGCAACGCACCCAACTGCTGCGAGGCAAGCAACACGACCTGAGTGTCGGTGGCGAGCAGTGCGAGGTGAAGAAGCTCCGTCGTTCGCGTGAAGCGAACCTTGGCATCCAACTCGAGCTCGTTCAGTTTGTCTGTGTAGCACATCGGCGGTGTACCAGCCGATGATTAGCAGCTCCCACTCTACAATGATGGGTGCAAGGGGAGAGACAAGCGTGTACCCATGGCGAGCATGACGCCCAGCTTGTTGATGGGGACAGGGATGTTCATGACGTCGACCAGGTGCCCAGTAATCAAATTGTCCACAAAGTTGTTGAAGTCCTGGGCCGACATCTCTTGCGTTTGAGCGACCACCTGCACGCACAGCCAAAGAAAACAAATTAAGAAAACAGTTGATTTAATTTTTATTTATTAGCAGGGCAGAAGATGGTGTTGAATATTAATGGATTTTTTAAAAAGAACAAGAAGTGCGTACATATTGCTTGAGCTTCAGTGCGCTCTCTTCACGAACGGGAGCAAGCCTACAGGAGGGGGGAAATGGTGTTATTAAGGAAGAGGGGCGAGGGGAACAATCGCCCTTTTGCATATCCGAAATCACAAGGAGAGGTCCACGCAGAACGTACCTGTTCGTGAGGCCTGCAATGATGGCCTCGAGCGAGGTCGTCATCTTGATGGGCCGACTCGCCCCGCTCTCAATCAACTACTGCTTGATCTAATATTTGCTAAAAAGGCACCCGGTTTTATCCGCGGGCCAAAATCCATTTTCAATTTTCGATTTCCCATTAGCAATCGCTCTGCCGATCTTATGTATGTAGAAGACGTACCAAGCGCACGACACAGGCAAGGAGGCCCATTCCAGCAGGAAGAATCTCGCCTGTCATCAAATGTTGCAAATAGTGGCGTATTCGTCAATGCTTCATCCTCTGGCCATACTTCCATCTATGAGCTGAAGGATTTGAGCTGAGCCATGGCTCGCAACACAGTACTGTGTTGTATCGAAGGATGCAGTGGGCAGCTGCATCTCGCTGGCAGCAAGAATATTAATTAATTTTTACTTATTATTTATTATTTTCTGCGACTGAAAAGTTCGTTGGCTTCAGAAGCCGAACCTGCTCTGGAGGAGGGCGGAGGCGGCCATGTCGACGTTGCCGCCGTAGGCTCGAAGCGCGGTGACCGCCTCCTCCCGCGTCACGCCCAGCGATGTCACGAGGTTCTGGACGCTGGCCTCGGGGAATGCAGCTCCCGCCGGGGTCGGGCCAGCCGCCACCGGCGACGGCACGGGCTGCCCTCCGGGGATCAGCGTGGGCACCTGCGCCGCTGCAGGCCTCGGCGCTGTTCGTAGAAGAACAAGAAGAAGGTGAGCTAGAGGAGGAGACAGAAGGGAGGGAGATGTCGGACGAACCAGCACCGGCGGCCGGCAGTGGCACGAGCGAAGGCAACGGGCTCGGCGGCGCCGGGCTTCGCGGCTCGGCATGTTCGGAATCAAACAGCTCGGACCTGGGGATATCCTTCTCGCTCAGGAACGGAACCACCTCTTCGCCAATCCGTAGCGCAGTCTCTCTGAGATCGATCACACACTGTTTGACACACACGTACGTAGTGTGAATGGTGAGGTTACCGTGTTTGTTTTCACCTGACCATTCTTCATTCTTGGTTTGTTGACAACAAACGAATTCGTGGTGGGTCCGTACCTGGTGCTTGCGAAGCATGTCGAGGCCCAGGAGAAGGTCGACTCCGCCGTTGTTTTCCAGCACTGTGAACGATGAGCTGAAGAACGAATTTCCGATCTACGAGAAGAGAGAAGAGAGAGAGAGATCAGTACTACATACAAGCCAGTTGGTGACGGGGCTGTCGATGGCTCGCAGGGGGAACGAACCTTGAGCGGAGCCACGTGTATCCGCCCCACGATTTTTGCCGTGCCCACTCCCTTTGCAATGCCCGACCATCGGTTATCGATCAGTCGGCTCAACCCGCACTTCTGCGCCGCCTCGAGCGAAATGATGGTCATCTGCGCTCCGCTGTCGACAAAGGCCTTGAGCGGGGTCTTGTTGACTTCGCAGTCTATGTAGAGCATTACAACCTGCGCGGCAACCACAAAAAAAGCGAAACGGCGTGAGTAATGAACAGATGCCGTTTCGCCGTTTCTGAATGGCATACCCGGCCAAAGGCCTCCGGGTTGTATTCGAGCGCAGCTTCCATGTTCTCCCGGATGTTGTCCTTCATGATCTCCTCTTCTATCGCTCGCTGGGCCTCAAGGTTGAACGGGTCGTCGTTCAGTTGTTGCTGTGGCCACGAGACCAGAAGAGAGCGGTAAGTCGAGCTGCGCAATAGGCGTGGCATGAGCTGCGACGATTCGACGTACGATTCGTCGGGCCTGTTCGAGTTCGGCCTGACGACGTCGCTGGGCCTGCTCGGCGAGCAGGTTGCTGAGGGCCGTGAGGTCGTCGCTCAGCACCGCCTCGGCCATCGTGGGATTGTTCTGTTGTTGGAAGAAAAAAAGAAAAAAAAGAGCACGGCAGCAGGCCATGAGTGATTGCTCTCCAGAGTTGACAGTGGACGACTTCAGAGTCGACGTACGTGCAGCAGCTGCGTGAGCGCGTCCGGGTTGGTGCGGAAGTACTGCTGCACCTGCGCGGCATCCATGGGCCTGCACCGGCAGCAGTGGTCAGAACGTTGGGGAAAACATATGTAACTGAGTAAAGGGCCCTAGAGGGAACGTCAGTCGTCGTACTGTTGTCCACCGCCGCCGCCCGCGCTGCCGCCGCCGCCACCGCCTCTGGCCGGCTCCCTCTTGGCTACAAATAGCATCGACCCCGTGGTCACACCACACTCTGCACGAGCAAACAAACATGTATCAGCACACGGCACGCACAAGGCGTAGCACAAACAAATCTTTGGGCGAACCTGAAAGCTTCTTCTGGTCAGGCAGCTCGCGAGCGTCGAAGACAAGCTGTTGCTCTTTCACCACGATGCCCGTCTGTCGCGGCAGTTAGAGCGAGGCGTTAGGCTTCTTGTGCAGGGGAAAAACAACACGCATAGATCGCATCGTGGCTGATGCAGATGAGAACAGGAAGGAGGGAGAGAGAGAGAGAGATGAACCTCGACTTCGAGCAAGGCCTTGAGGTGCTCCACGGGTTCGTTTGCATCGAGGGTGAATTCCATAATCTTCTCATCGGGCGTAGTCACCCAAATATTCAATTGTTGTGATGCCATATCTTAGTCTGTTCGATCCTGTTGTCTCCTCTGTGTCTCTGTTGTCTTGGTTTTTTTCTCACATGATCAGTTGCCGAAATCTAGGAAAAGCCAGCCGCCGTTTGCGTGGCTCGAGAAATAAGATTAAAAAATCTTTATTATAAATTATAATAAAGGAAATAATTTATTTTTGCTTTAATTGTCTGTCGTATTTATTCTTCCACCGAAACAAAGGCCAGCACCTTCCTCGGCGTACGACCATGAGTGGCTGGTTGGTCTACGATACGGTCAAAACCGTTCGAATCGAAGATCGGTATACAAAAACTCCTTGGCGCTTTGCTTCAGTCCCCCCCCCCGACGAGAAGGGCATAATCTAATCACCACTTTTTCACGATCGCGACAGGAAGCTGAGCGCCTTGTACTACGCGCTCGTTCTCGGAGCCCTGGCCTACACAGCGTCCACCATCGTCTACCACAAGGTTCGTGCCCGACCACCACCCCATCTTGTGCCTCGTGATGACGTGGCAAACGCGCACAACGCAGGGCTATCTCGAGTACGAGCCGCACATCGTGGGCGGGCTGGCTCTGCACCTGACGCGCCAGCACCACGGCAGCGAGGCCGGCCACCCTCCGGACCTGATCGACACGCGCCTCCTGCCCTACTGCCGCCAAAGCTCCCACTCTGCGCGCGACGCCAAGGTACGACGACGAGCTTTTCTGTGCTCTGCGTATCAAGCACCGAGCGTTTACACAGAGAGTAGTAGTAGTCTAGGCGCTAAACTGTTTAGTGATGCACGGTGGTGATGGTGGTGATGATGATGACTGCAGCCCTGTCTGATTTGGGACGACGATGACATACTCGTCCAGCGAGGCACGCACGCAGCCCTGATTACGACCCGCGTGCAGCGCTACCTCGAGGTAATCAATCCACTCTACACATGTTTTATTATGGGGTGAAGAGCTAAGCTCATCATTCCGCACACACGTAACAGAAGCGAGTGTGTGGGCCAACCGAAGTGTCGTGTGGAGCGATCTGGGAGGAGGTGTCGCACGATGACTACTACATCGCCGATACCGAGAACTTTGAGGTATCGCGGCCACGCCCAGCTCTTGGGCTTCAAGACTTGGGCTCACGATCTGCCGGGGGGGGCGACGTCAGCTGGGAGTGTACCACAGCATGCAGGCGCCGCACTTCTTCGAGGAGTCCGGCCACTCGCACGCCTTCGCCGAAGGCAACCTGCACATGAAGGGTGTCCTGATGAAGTACTCACCACCTTGCCCCACATTCGACACGACACACACGACACACACGACACACACGACACACACGACACACACGACACACACGACACACACGACACACACGACACACACGACACACACGACACACACGACACACGTCGCTGATACCTTGGTACCCAAGGGGACAGGGAGACGCCAAGGCGTG